AACTCAGACTCTATAGTTATAATCGTTCCCCAAGGGCATTTGAAGCACTTTGCAACCAAAAGGTTGTGATTACTCCTCAATTGCCATACTGCTTATTATTGCTTATTGCTTAATTATGGAACCGTAATATGTTTCTCGGATGCTGTCAGCTAAGTAGCATTATTTGGTTCTCACGCTCTGCTTCATTTTTGCATGGGACAGGGAAGCTTTGTGATGTTTTGATATGATGGAGGAGATAGCAGTAGGATGGCCAGCTCAATACTGACCTTCAGAAGAACAGGACATTGAATTCTTGCCCCGCCAATTGCTTGACTTGGGCGAGTCTTTCCCTACACTGCTTAAGGCTTAATGACTATATGGGATAAATAGTGGGTCTCGTCTTAACCTCTAGGCGTAGGTTCAAGATGCTTAAGCCACTATTTTCATCATGTGCAAATCCAGCTGGCTTGGTTTAAATGGTCTTCAGTGACAGTTTCTCCGTACAGACTGCACTGGTCACATTCCTCGTGGTTTATACAAATTTCTGTCTCCATTTAAATTGAGGTGATGCAGTTTTTACTTGCTTGGGCCTTGTTGCTGTTCCTGGGTTCACAGCAAGCCCAGCTGAAACAGGCATCTGATGCTGCGGTGTTGCATAGGGGATTTGATGTCTGCACTCTTTACTGATTCAGTGAATCGTTGCACTGTGAAAAAGAGTGAAAATGTGCCCTTTTCCAGGCTCACTGGGTCTACAAGTCTATCTTGAAAAACTCATTTTGTAAGTCTTTTTTGTAACCTACCCAAATGAAGGAGAAAGCAACAAGCGACCCACGGGGTAATTTAACATCGGTCTGGATATTTGCATGTATATATTCATAGGAAAATGGGAAGATGGGTGATAAATTTGGGGTTCTAAATCATCACCTAAGTTTCCAGATGAAACTTCTACTGAACTTCATTCCTTAGACTTGTTTTTGAAAACATGAATAAGAAATAGAATTGATGAAACACTTCTGTTATTACAAGGTTGGCATAAATTCTACTTAATGAGGTGCTTTTTATGGCAGCGGTTGATTTTTAAATCCCCCTTTTCATTACTGAAATCTCCACTTTAATAACACATTACGTTGCAGAGTGCTTTGGTAGCATGCATCTTCTGAATTCTGTGAGAGGCTGCCTGGAGTTCTGCATGGAAGCTCTTGTATCATGAATAGAATTTGTTCAGGAAATAAAAATATATTGTTTTCTTTGGTAGAGGATGCTACTAAATTGGCTCTATGTTTGTCTAATAATCACATCTAAAGCTGATTATTCTGGTAATAGCCTTAAGATATTATTTAAAAATAAATATATAAATGGACTACTTTTGTACTAATACTAGTTTTTAATCTCTTCTTGTTTCTGTGAAGTCTGAATGAGATTTTCAAAATTGAATAATAATTTGATCCGTTAATCTTTTGAAGCTAGTAATTTTATTTTCCCCTCTTTGCAGTCTCTGAGGCTCGCAAATGAATAGAGCTTCATTACTGGAGTCTGCATTTAATAACCATTATCCATTATCTTGTAATTAAGACTCCCTGTAACGAATCATGAGGACAATGCAAAAATACATAGTACATTTCTTTAATGAACTGGAAAATGTTCATCTTGTTCTATTTAGTAATGAGTTGCTGAATAGTCGTTAAATCCACTGGAGAATAGAGCTAGATGAATTCTGAAGACTATCTTGAGTTTGTGGTTAATCTATTAGAATTAAAATTTCATCTTCTATTTTTATCAACAGCTGATTAGAAGTCATTCTGTTTGACCAAATTGATTAGAAGACCATATACAAGGGCAGCTGTTGTTTAATGAAAGTTTTTAATGAAACTGTACCACAGAGACTTGTAATTATAAGACTTATAAAAGCTTTGACTTACCTTATACTAGAAAAAATGAAAAGTATTGCAATGAAGGACTTTAAGTGCTGCATTTCAAAAGGGAAATTAAAAGTATAATTTGGCACTGTTAAAGTTTCACTTCCACTATTTGTTTTAATGTGACTATCAGATGTCCATACTGTCTCTCTGACAGAGGATAGCTCTGAAATATATAACTCAACTATTTCTCATACGTGCTCAGTTCCCTGCAAGACTCAATCAACTTTTAATTGGCTCTTTTTCGTATTGCAGCTTCTTTGCAGTTAGAACTTGTTTCCTGAGTAGTCATTTCAGTTTTGAATGGGGAATGTTGTAGCATGGTGCAGCTTAAACACCACTGACTGCCTGGGCAGGAAACCTGCAGATAAAAACAAACACGGATTTACAGGAGGCAATGTTAGTGATGAAATTTGATTATGTTTAAATTGCAGGACATTGAAACATGCATGGTTTTGTCTCAACTCCCCAGCAGGTTGAAACCTAGCTGCATGCCAACCTGCATCAGGAAGACAGGTCTCTGGAGCGTATTACAGCATACTGTCAGAATGTAGTCAAGGCATCCCCTTACTTTGAGCCAGCAATGAAAGTTCCCTTTCTTACTCTAGGGGATGTCATAGAGGCTTCATCATTCAAATAAGAGACGAAATGGACTAAGCCAAATCTGAAGTGGAAGCAGATGCAGTTCCAATTGACTTAAGTGGATGATGCACTACTACGCTGTGTTTGAATTAGCCCTCTTCTCCTCACGATTACTTTTGATAATTAATGATCCCACAGTACACCTTTTCTAAGAAGAAGTAGGTTCCCAGGGGTGAAGTATGCTCTATTGCAATTAAAGAACTTTTGTCACTGTATTGTGTCAGTGAAAGATCAGACACTGCAAAGCAATTCTTTCTGCTCATTTCTTAGCTTTCTGTAATATTGCACTGCTGAATTTATTTTAAGCCCACCCAGAACACCAAAAAGGAACAAGAACACTACACAAATATTCAGGACAGGTGAGGAAAGTTGTGTAAAAGAGAGAAAACGTGAAATAAACAATGAGTCAAGGTTAAGTCTCCCTCTTTAAATAACACATATTTTTTTATATTGTTACTGTGTTATATCAGACCATGGCTGTAAATGTAATAATTTGCAGTGTTACAATTACAAAGTGCATAAGAAAGGAGTTGTTTCCCTGTTTACAGTATTATACAGCTAGTTTCATTGAACACACATGGGATTTTTTTGTTTTCACCTTAAACAGCTATTTGAAGTAAGATACTAGACTGTCAAATATGAGACCAAATTGATGAAAAGTTGTATTATAAACCTGATGAAAATTGTTTCTATTCTGAAAGATCCTTGTGGAAATATTAAAATTTTGATTTATATGCAAAATTTGTTCAGAGAAAATCATTGGCTTTTTTTTGTTCTTGTTGTTAATCTGCTATCTTCCTTTTATATATATGTAACATAGGTAGCACACATATATTATGTATGTCCATACAGGAATATATATGTAAGTTGGTCCAAAAATAATACCTCCTATTTATTTCCATGGAATCTACAACAGATATAAAAAGCACAATAACACTATTCAGTACAACAAATTCTCAGCTACTAGGCACTCTTTTTCAACATAGTCACCACCGTTAACTTTGCATTTTGGCCACCAATTAACAACAGCCTGCATGCTGTGCTCATAAAAATTTGCACCAGCAGAGGTGATCCACTGTTTCACAGCTGCTGTGATGATATCATTGCTAGGAAAATGTTGCCCATGCAGTCCATCTTTATCATCAACCTGAGAAGGTGAAAGTCACAGGGCACCAAATCTGGACTACAGCAAGTGTGGTAGGACAGTCCAACCAAAGCTGGCAATGTACTCCACGGTCTTCAAACTGGTACTGGGCCTGGTGTTATCGTGTTGTAGGAGTAAAGTTTTCTTATTCTCTAGCCTGACTCTGGAAGTTTGAGCTTTCAGCTTAGTCAGCATGACGGTATAGTGGTCAGAGTTGACGATCTGTCTGAGTTCCAGGAAATCCAGAATGATTACCTTTTTTCTGTCCCAAAAGATGGTGCACATCACTTTTATCTGCTGAAGGTTCCATCTTGATTTTTTTTCTTTGATGGGGAATTCAGGTGGCTACTCCATGGACTGCCAGTTTGACACTGGTTCATAGTAACGAATGACAGCACTTCTCGTCACCAGTAATTATGTGATCCAGGAAACTGTCACCTTCAGCCTTGTATTGGTTCAGTAGGTCTTGACAAACTTGAATATGGTGATCTTTCTCTTCCTCACTGAGCATTCATGAGACCTACCTGGTGCAAACTTTGCAATATTCCAACATTGCCACCATCGTTTCCAGTGCATTGAAGCTGATACGTACACATAAATAACATAGTCTGCAGTTGTAACCTACAGATTCACACACACAGATGAGCTGATAGAGATGTTCTTCATCTTGTGGTGTAACAGCTTAGCATGGCTGTCCAGAACTTGGCACCTCCCACCGCCTCATTGTGCTCACATCTACTGTTTGGTTTCCATAAAATTTCAGCAAGCAGTGATGAGTGTCAATGGGTGGCATTTTTTCCACATGGAGGAATTCAGTGGCACACCTTTCCTTCATATGCGCTTCCATATCAGATGCCATTCTGTTAGATTGCCCCTCTGTTGCCATCTATCACATGGAAACAAAATGTAATAGAATACTGGTGATGAGGTTCAACCTTTACTGCCATATCACCAACATCAGTTTCTGATGTTGTGAGTCAGTTTAGTACAATAGGAGGCATTAGTTTTGGAGCAGCCCTTGTAACATTTTTTGAGTTTATTGAGAGGATAGTTGATGTGATTTCTAGAGCAGAGAATTAAGATCTGAGGTGTTCATTTAGCCTCTGGGATGCCTGAGTTGTTCTGAAACCAGACGGGTACCTCACCTTCCTGCTTTAGTCTTCGCAGGTGCAAAGTTAACATGGACTCCACAAGGATGTGTAAAAGGGATGCTTTGTAATTGCTGTGAAGGATGAGGACATCCTTGGAGGGTGTGAACTACACATATGTGCAGTGGTTTTCATTCTAAAACCACCATAAAGATTTTTATTTCCTTTCAGGTTCTGATTTTATAAAGACATCTACAGGAAAGGAAGTGGAAAATGCGACTCTACCAGTTGGAGTAGTCATGATGCGAGCCATTAAAGAATTCTACTGGCAAACTGGCTTTAAGGTAATTCTCATGACCCATCTGAAAATGAACCAAACAGGTTTACTCAGAAGATTGTAAGACTGTAAGATTTTCAAAATGCAGTGTTTGTAAATTTGCATATATTAGCTTCCATGATTATAGCGCAATAGTAGTGGGCAATGGGATTTCTCTGTTGTATGCTTCTTTCTTTTTACTAGTAATTTAAACAGAGAAAAAATCCAAAACCAAAACACACTTTTGCCTTTCCTCTCTTGAGTAGCTGTCAGTTAATTCCCTAAAACCTCATGCAATTTTGGTACATCGCATGATGCATTTAGTTTTGAGTTTTGTTTTACCATGTAAGATATTTAAATGGTCATCACAATGACAGGGAGAATCTCAAGCTGACAGTGATTGACATACTCCCATAATACAGCCACCAAGAGTTCGTCCAGAGAATGTGACTCTATTTTCTGACTTAGTTATGGCAACCCAAAGAGTAAATTCTGCTCATTTCTCCCTTGCTGGAGGAGCTTTCAAAGGCAACAAGAGGGCAGATCCAATTGGTTCCAATTGGTTCAATGCTCTCCCAGCCTGTCTTACTCTCCCTCCATCTCAAACAAAATTGAGAGAGCAAGACAGGCTGGGAGAGCATTGCACCCTTTATCTGATAGTCAAGACACTGTCAAGGAAGGTCGGGGAGGTGAGGAGCAGAGAGAAGTTTATGAGAAGTCTGTGCATCTATCCTGCTGTTAGAGCAGAGAGAGGAGGAGGTTATTCAGAAGGGCTAATGCCACCTTCCATTTCCTATATCTGCAGAGAATCAGAGCTCCTTCTTAGATCATAGAATCATAGAAAGGCCTGGGTTGAAAAGATCATCTAGTTTCAATCTCCCTGCTGTGGGCAGGGTCGCCAGCCATTAGACCAGGCTGCCCAGAGTCACATCAAGCCTGGCCTTGAATGCCTGTAGGGATGGGCCATCCACAACCTCTCTGGACAACCTATTCCAATGCGTCACCACCCAGATCTGCTGCAGGTACTCAGCATTGGGTTTTTCCCTTACCTGTGGCCTCAAGGAAGGAGGTGTCATTTAGCTAAGACTCTCTCCCCAATTCCGGGCCACCTTTCTATCCTTTCCAACTGATGCTTCGTTCCTATCAACAGATGATGTGATACTGGGATGTGGGATGATCAGTGGGACAGATGAGATGGCTTCAGGGGCTGCTGGAGCTTGAGGAGCACATCACAACAGGTTACATGTGTCCTTCTGCTCTCTGTAGTTGTCTGGATGAGGCTGCTTTCACTTCTCCCTTCCCCAGTCTGCATCTCTGCCTACCATGCAACAGCTCTAGCCTCTCTAGTCTTGCTTCTGCAGAAGCATCACTGCTGCCAACTGGAGGCAGATCCCTTGAGCCAGGTGACTCGCCTCCACACAGGTGCTGTTTGCAGGAGCCAAGTGCCAAAGCCTAGGCGTCAGCACAGCTTTGTACATATAATTGGATACAAATGTGGAATTCACCTTTTGCTTTAAAAGAATGTATTCGTGGTATAAAATGTGTTATTCAGAATGAGTGCTTATGTCTGTGTATGTCAGAGAATTAGATGTAAACTGACTTTGTGTGCTTTTATTAACTGAAGACAATATTATCAGCGACAAGAGATTTCTAAATGGTTTCTTTAACAAACTAATTTTGCTGCTGTAGGGATCCTTTCTAGCAAGGCGTTGGCTGAGAAAAACAGGTTAATACAGAAATTAAACTTCTTCGAGGATAGGAACAAGTTGCAGAGTAACATTTATTGAATGATAAGCTGTGGTGGTGATATGAAAAGTGTGCAATATAATGGGAAATAATCTTTTCCTGTCATTATTGAAGGACATACATAAATTGGTTTTTCTGTTGGGAAAACCCCCAATCCAGAAAAACTTATTACTTTTAATAATATAAGGTGAAGAGAAAATTCTTGAGGAGATGAACTTATTAAGCAAAATAATGAAATGCTGTGAAACAGCAGGGAAGTGGTAGCTGGACTTTATACCACTCTCGAATTAAATGCCCTCCCCCTTTCCTTTTCGTGTTTTTATGGCAGTCAGATGTGCAGTAAATGGGGGAGAGGATAGACTTTCCTTTGTCAGCTTTTTGTTGGTTTTTTTTTTTTTTTTTTTTTTTTGCAAAGAGCTTTCAGAATTTGCTAAAAGGGAAAGGAATTTTGCATAGCATTTTTAGTTATCTTATTTATTAACTGTTTTTTACTTGTTTTTGCCACAGATTATCTCGAAGAGCTGTAGTATTTCTACTAAGAATTCTAAATTTGAATTTGATTAGGATTTCTCTTCCTTTGGGAAAACACAGTCCCAGTATTTTAATTTATTGTCTAGAGGATGCTTTTCCAGTTGATGTGCTTTAAATTCCTTTTGGAAATCTAATGTTAACAGATGTATGCATACACTTAGGCATGCATCCATCCATCCACAAAAATATAGTCTTTGTGTTTAGATTTATCAAGCTTTTCCTGTTATTGTTCTTTGTAATCTTATTGGAAATATGCTGTTATAACAATACTTCAGTGTTAAAAGAAGGATTTATTCTGTTTGTTTGTCCTGAAATCACTATTAAAATTACCAAACTTATTTAAAATGACAGACAATTTTAGATTCTATTGTCATAACCATAAGGTACAAAGAAACCAATCAAGGCAGTGAGTTTTCAGGAAAGTATATACAGAAATCAGAATGATAATTCTTTCATGAGGAGGCTGAAGAGAAGGACTAACCAAGATAAAGACGTATGGCAGAAGGAAATGTAGAAAGCATCGCTATGTGCTACTGTTCAGATTTTCTTCTTTAATGCAGATAAGCTTTTTCTTAATTCTATTTGTTCTTCTAGAATTTTAAAAATCTGCTGCTGGCCAACAACTGACGTAATGCAAGCAACAAACTTGACCAGGATTTTGATAGCTATGCTTTACAAATACTGTCTTAGAATGAGATATGTGTAAATGGCACATAACCAGAAGGGTGTGCAGCAGGTTGTCTCTGTGCTGGCTCATGGGATCATGAGATTCAAGGCATGCTTTGCCTTAAAGATAGTTTTTTCCTGTCATGTGTCCTAATACACATGGCAGTTCACCTAACCAGGTATGACACATCTCTCATCAAGTGTCTGAAAGCATATCCGGTATCTGGTAGAAGTTTTACAGTTCTTCTAAAACAGAAAAAAAAATCAATTTCTTGTAGACTCTCTGTAGAGTCTTCATTTAGTAAATTTTAGTGAAAAATTTCAAAATAAGTTTGAATTTACAACACAATTATGCATTACTCTGACACTTAGGATTTTTATAAAATACAACTGCCTCCTATTGCTCTTCACACAAGTCCGTTGCACTGCGTGCTTTATTTCAGCATGTTTGACATTATATAATTGCATTTATTCTTGCTGATCTTTATTTGGAATAAGATTGCAGCATGAGCAGTAAGTGATACTTAGCTGGCAGTGTGCTTTTGCAGCCCAGAAGGCCAACAGTGTCCTGGGCTGCCATGCAGGGCAAGGAAGGTGGTCATTGCCCTCTACTCTGCCCTTGAGAAGCTACATTACAAGTACTGTGTCCTGGTCCAGGGCTCCCAGCTCAAGAAAGAAGTAGGATTTTAGGAGCAGGTCCAGAAAAGGGCCACTAAATGGTCAGTGGGTTGGAGCACCTCTGCTATAAAGACAGCTCTCCTACAGAGAGCTGGGCTGCTTCTTCTCACCCTGTAGAACACTCTAGGGAGACCTCACTGCAGCTTTCCAATACTTAAAGGGAGCTCATAGACAGGAGGGAAATCAACTTTTCACACGGGTAGATAGTGATAGGACGGGAGGGTGATTTTAAACTAAAAGAGGAGAGATTTAGATTAGATGTCAGGGAAAAAATTTTCACTGAAAGTGTGGTGAGGCACTGGCAAATGCTGCCCAGAGAAGCTGTGTGTGCCCCATCCCTGGAGGTGTTCAAGGCTGGGTTGGATAGGGCCCTGGGCAGCCTGAGCTGCTGGGTGGAATCATGCCCATGGCGGGGGTGTTGAGCTGGATGAGCTTTAAGGTCCCTTCCAACCCAAGCCATTCTATGATTCTCTGATATGCAGATAGCCCTGGTCCTGTCCAAATCCCTTGACCTAACGTGTTATGGGCAAATTGCAGTCAAACCCAGTTCCTGAGAAAGTGCATAGGGGGCAAAAGTATTGCTCCCTCACTTGCTTTCACTCACAACAAAAAATTTGTCTTTCACTGTGAAGACTGAGGCCTGATGAATGACTTGCAGCACTAGTCCAGACCGAACACTGCTTACAATCAGATATTTACCAGAACAGAGTTTTTTATATACACCACAGACAGATTTAGACAGCAAGTCAACAAATGCTGATTGTTCTTCTGGGGCTATAATGAAATATTGCATTTTTTTATATATATAGGTTGGATTTAAGCCTGCTGGTGGCATTCGGACAGCGAAAGAAGCTATTACTTGGCTTATGCTGGTAAAAGAGGAACTGGGAGTGGAATGGCTGAAACCAGAGCTCTTTCGCCTTGGTGCTAGTAGTTTGTTGGAAGACATTGAGAAACAGGTTAGTTGTTAATAGTTTACAGATTTTTGGAGAGAAGCAATTATCTTTCTAAATGTACTGGTTTACTGTTTTTGCAGAATTTGCTTTTTGGTGTTGTTTAAGAGATAACAGAACATGCATTTAATGCATTATTAACAAGTTCACTTCCAGCACAGTATTAGCTTAAATTTGGCTTGTCATTACAGACCTCTGGGACTCGAGTATCCCAAGCATCTGACAATTCCCTGGGCCAGACTCACAGTGCAGTAGGCAAAGGAGCTCCATTTGTACACGTGTAGTCTTTTGCTAATGCTCAGCAGTGCACTCTCCTGCACTTCTATCTGTTGCCAGTTCAGATGGACATCAGGAAACATTACAGACCCTTTGTGTCAACTGTTTACAATGTATTTCCATATTGTAGAAGAAGTCCTCTCATTCTACAAATAGTAGCGCTGATAGAGAATGAGGTAGTGCCCAAGAGATGAGGTGATATTAGCTCTAACAAAAAAAAAAAAACAGTTTCATAGTTCTTGTGCTATGAGAGAGTATCTGCTGTTTAGGGGGACTGAAGGAGAGAAAAACATGAAACTGTTCCCTTGCCCATCTTTCCTAGCAACTGAAGTACTAACATGTTATAAGAAAAGTCTTAACAGCTCAAAGACATCAGGTGAATATTGATGACATTTGAAAACCCCTGGTTCCCTCTTGCAATGAGAATAATACTGTCTTGTTTCACTGCCAGACTGTTTCTGCCTCTCACTTGACCTAAAATCATGTCTCTTGTTATGACAAAGCATGGTGAGCTTTTTTTTTTTTTGCCACTGCTATCACTGCTGGCTCTTACATGACAGCTAGAGTATGTGATAGTTTGTTCTGGTTTCCTAACAGTGGCACCTTTTTATCTGCCAGGGATTGCACAAAGACCACAGTCATGACCAAAGCTCTGCTATGCTGTGTCATCTAAAACTACGTGAGATAAAATGTACCAGCCGTTATATTCACAAAAACAGATATGCATAAGAGCAAAACAGAAAACAGGGAAATACTCAGCCCTGAGGCAGTGAAGAGCCATAGAAAAGCATAAGCAGTTTTGAATCCTTTGAATATTAGAAATAATGCTGAAATCATCAAACCAAGATTACAATGGGAGTAAATCATTGTCTTTTACTTGTCTGTTTTTGAAAGCAACAGAAGTTTTTTTTCTTTTTCTTTCCAAGCAAGGCAGCAAGAGCTCTTAGTTGAAATCAAATAAACAAGTATATGAAGGCATACTGCATCATATTTTATGAACACACACATACACAAATAAATATCCATCATCTTCTTCTGACATGTCTTTAATTTGTGATACTTTGAAATTTACAGTCATATATAACTCCATCACGAATGTCCTTTTTTTCTTGCAGATTTTCCACCACGTGACTGGCTCTTATGCACTTCAACACGACCTGGCAATGGCTTAAACACAAAATCAACTCAGGATTATTTTTATAAAAGAAGCCTTTAAAAAAGCAGCATTCAGAAGTCTTCTGACAACTGAGTGCGTTTGATAGAATTAAAGGCGTAATTCTCTCTTCTTCATATATCACAGCATTTAAAAATATGCTCAAGTCTGCTGGTTGTACTTGATCAAAAAATGGAAAAAAATGGTAATTCTGAAACAGTTAAATAGTTAATACTTACAGATTTGCAAAGTTAATCTTGCAAAGTCTTCCTCAGCCCCAGCCTGAAAAGCTTATTAATGGCAACACTGAAATACTAGGAAAAAGATTTGGGTGTCCTGGTAGCACTTTGCAGGTTGAGAAATGAAGTATCTAAAGAATGTTTCATATTGCTAATTAAGAGCTACAGATCTTGAAACAGCTTTCCATTCACCTCTGACTAGATCTTTGGTAGGAATATGTTGCACTATTAATTGTTATGTTGATTCGGTTTCAAGCACTGTAACCTGAGAAAATGAAACTTGGTTATTTCTTTCTTTTATAAAATCTTGGTAGCAAAAAAACCTTTTTTTTTATTTTTATTTTTTTTATTTTTTCCCCCAAACTTGGGCACAGACATCCATATTTAGACCCTTGAATAAAGGTGGCTTGATTTCTAGAACAGCTGAGTATCCACAGTTGCTCCTGAAGCTAATGGGAGCTCTGGGTGATCAGAACAACTGAAAATCAAGCAGCCTCTATATAGGTGCCTAACTATGCATTCAGGAGGCTATTTTCAGGCATTTCACTCTTAAAAATTTTAGTCTGTCTTGCTTAGAAGCTCCCATTCCTGTCTCCTGTCATTTTAAAACACATTCATGCAAATCTTTGCATTTTAATGTAGAGGGGTTGATTGTCAGTTTACAGGTTTCTACTCTATGCTATCTGAACTTCAACTTTTCCCTTCTAAGAGCATTTCTGTAATTTATAAGAATTGTGTCCTATACAGAGTTTCAGCTTTAATGAAAAAGTACTTTTCTCAGAGGACATTAAGAATAATACCTAAATCATCAACACCTTTTGAATATCAGACTGGAGCTGGTAGATTCATTACTTCAGAGCTGCATTCTACTCACTAACCGGAGTTGTACTAAAATCTTAATTATCTTATCATCATGACTAGTCTCACTGACTTAAGTAGGTCTCATCAGGGAAGTAAGAGGAGGAGGATTTTGCTATAAATCAAGCTACAAGGTGCATTTATTACAAAAAGATCTTGACTTCATAAAGATAATAACTCAGTTATTTATCTGGCTAAGCCACCTGAGTCGCTCTGTGAAACACTGCATGGAGAGATTTGGCCTTCTGAAGAGTCTTAGACAGCCTGAGGAATAAGCAGATGGCTGAGCATTACTGGTTGTCTTTGTCTTGTCCCATTCAAGAGACAGCTAGCAACAGCGCAAGCCCACCTAGGAAGCAGAGTGAGGGCTGGAGCCTGGCACTCCTACATCACTCATGGTAGTGCTGAGAGCCCCAGGCTGAGGTGAAGCTTGGCTCTTGGGTTGGTAGGTGCATGACGAGGGGAGGCTGAGCAGGGTCATGAGAGTCTTGGGGCTCATGCTAACGCTGACCCATGAGACAGCTAGAGCTGGAAGGAAGGGTCTGACATGCATTCCGAGTTCAAGTTGGAGATTGGTGTAGCAGAGCGTATGTCTCCACTGATGGAGAACTGGAAACATTTTCAATGTGGTCTTTTGAGTTTGTACTTGCACTGGTGCCCTTAACCCTGACCAGCACTTCCTCTGCACTCTTCCATTTCTTCCTCTCCTGGCTGACTGTTGGCTGCTATTTATTTCCCATTGTCACAGAGGAATTGAGACTTGCTAGGTTGTTGCAGCTGGTCATAACAGCTGCACAAAGTGTATGAAAGGAGATGGGGACCTGAAATCAGTAACCAGGAAGGGGGCAGCACACCACTGCTGAATAGACTTTGAAAAAAGTTCAGATTTAGCACTCTGCTTCAGGCCTTTAAAAAAGAAACAGGCAATTATGCCTGTTTATCTGTATGATTACATCTATATTTAGATAAATATATTTCAGAGTATAACATATGTTTTGTGGAAGTCAGTCTAGTACACTAATCATTATTTTTGTAACACTTATTCATTTAGGATTTTAAATAGCTTCGTTTTGTTGACTACCTCACTTTGCAAATAAGTGAATAAATTCAAGAGGAAAGTCAAGTAGAAACTGCAAATCTAGAATATCCTGCATCAACTTATTTACAAGAAGAGGGAATTGGGAGAAGGGGTAAGCTTTTTTTCCTGGTTTGCAGGAAACAAAGATATTAAATAGTAATTATATTCAAAGTGCACGTATCAGCTGGGGCAAGTAATACTTTGATATCTTTATTTCATCAGTAGTATAAGTTCATTCTTTCATTTCCTTTCTGAAGCAGAGAACATACATTATACACAATAGCACATGCTTCTGAGACAGAAAAGGCTGATCTACGTTTAATTTTATTTTGCTCAGTTGGAACTTTGGCTCCCTGCCTTCTCTGGGGAAAAAGAAGAAAGAAGAAAAAAAAAAAAAAAAAAAAAGGAACAGCAACTTTTATCCAAATCTTGGTGCACTTTTGCTGAAATTACCAGTGCTGACATCTGGATGATACATAAAGTGTGCAGTAGGAGTAGAGGGAGGGAATTGCATTTAATTAGATGTAACCTACCCAGGAGAACAAGATAGGGAAATGTCCATCTGGCCAGTTCTTATTAATAGGACAACAAAAGATAAAAGTAGTAGTATGCGAAGACACCATTGTTGAAACTACCAGTTGACCACTTTTATTAGAATCCTAGACAGCCTGCACTGTAAGTTGAAAGGTAAGACTTGGAAAGAAAGGAGCATCAAAAAAGGTGACAGTCCTTGCACGTCCTAAAAGGAAAGAATAAGCAAGTGATGGGTAGCCATGAGTTCCAGACAGCTATTTTGTAGAGATCCTTCCTCTGATCCAGACAAGTTACAGACCTTTTCTGCAAGGACCTACAGTAACAAAGGAAAGCGTGACAAAATTGTTTTAGTGTCCTTTAATAAAATTTAACATTGATGCAAGAAGGAGTGCCAACAGGATGCCCTAGCCATTTCTGACGAGTCCAGTGATTTTAAGTGGCTCTGGTTAGAGCACTAGGGTTAGCATCCTGTGGGTTGCTAATTCTTGGAAACTGCATAAGATGTGGTCTTCTAGAAGCAAAGCTTTCTTGAGGTTTAGCAGTTTCAGATCACCCAGTTCATAGGAGGTGTTTGAAAACACTGAACTATAAAAGCATCAATTTAGAATTGCTTCCTTAGCTGAGAAGAAAACAACTTTTTTAAGTGGTGTTAGCAAATGGAGAAAGTGATAGTGGATTTTATTACACTTTTTTTCGTAAGTCTTGCTTTCTCTAAGGAAGGAGAAGACAAAGGAGCTTCAGAGGTTCAATTAATAAAGATAAACATAGTATCTCAACAATATGGTGCTGTATAAAACCAAACCCCATGGTGGATGAGGTTTTGCCCAGAAAATTAGGAAAACTTGATAAGCTCATTTTTACATTTCGCCAGTAGCAGTGAGATCTGTTTGTATTCAAAGATTTATGTAAATTATCACATACTTAATAATTGCAGCAAGCAAGCAAGCAAACTAGAGAAAATCCTGTGTCTTGGCAAAGGCCAATGCCAGGGCTGGGCTAGTGATCCTTCAGTATAGGGATTCCCATTGCCATTTCAGCCCAGAGAGCAGATGCACTACAGGTCATATCTGACTAGCAGGCACACTGTCTAGCTGGCTGGCATCACAGGAAAGCCCGGGGTCTTGCTGACTGAGGTAGAGCAGTTGATACAGCAGAAGAAGGAATGCCATCCAGAGGGACTTTGATAAACTCGAAAGGTGGGCCCTTGTGAGCCTAATGAGGTTCAACAAAGCAAAGTGCAAGGTTTTGCACTTGAGTTGAGGCAATGCCAGACATGTATATGGACTGGGAGAACTCCTTGAGAGTAGCCTTGCTAAGAAGGACTTAGGGTTCCTGGTTGATGAAGAACTTTACATGAGCCAACAGGATACACTTGCAGCCCAGAAGGCCAACGGTATCCTGGGTTCCATCAGAAGAGGAGGGAGGCCAACAGGGGGAGGGAAGGGATTGTACCCCTCTATTCCAAATTAATGAGGACCCAGCTGGAATCCAGCAGGCGTCCAAGTCTGGGACCCCCAGCACAGGGGAGGACTATGAAAATGATCTAAGTGCTAGAGCTATGAAGACAGGCTGAAGGAACTGGGCTTGTTCAGCCTGGAGAAGAGAAGGCTGTGAGGAGAGCTCACTATGGCCTTCCCGTATTTGAAGGGAGTTTATAAACAAGAAGGAAATCAACTTTTTACTTGGATAGAAAGTGATAGAACAAGGGGGAATAGTTTTAAAATAGAGGAAAAGAGATCTAGATTAGATGCTGGGAAAATCTGTTTTCTGAGAGAGTGATGAGGTGCTGAAACAGGTTGCCCAGAGAGGTTGTGGATGCTACTCATCCTTGGAGGTGCTTAAGTCCCAGTTGGGTGGGGCCCTGGGCAATCTGATCTAGCAGTTGATCTAGGAGCTGGCAACTCTGCCTGTGGCAGGGAACTCGATGATCCTTGAGGTCTCATCTAACCCTAACAATTCTATGATTCTGTGGCTTGCTTCAGGGCTTACCAGCATGGCTGTAGGACCACTTGGTACTAAAGCTGCCTGCCTGTAGCGATAACTGCTAATCCACTGAGAACATTTTTTTGCCCCTCAACCTCAAACCTGAGCAACCAGCTTCTGAGGGGAAGCTGGAGAATGCATATTCTCCAACATTTAATTTAATTACATGTGAGTTGATTAAGGATGTTATCTTCATTTCCAAGGGAAATGAAACATTCATTCAGAGTCGTGTCAGAGCTCTAGCTGAAGGCTGCCAGGTCTCAGCACTGGCTTCTTTTTGCAGCTTCCAGTGGGGTCTTGGTCTTTCCTCACAGCACAGGCATTGTCTGACCCAGAACACAGCTTCTTGCTTTATTGTTCTGAAGGGCCTGAATGCAGCTAGAACAAAGAGCAGCTATTCTATCCAGGCTCTAACAAGAAGGTTTTTATGTTCTAGTTAGCACAGATCAGTCCAGTTCCAAAAAATGCAAATGCCTTTGCCCCATCTGGTAGGAACTGTAACAAGGCCTCTGGGAGGCCAGTGGCAGGAAGATGTAGATAAAGGGAAAACAGAGGGGCAAAAAGAGAAGTCAGAAGAAGTAAGAGAGATCGTCACCACCACTGTTACTGCTTCACAGAATTGTAATCTTTTGTATCTCTTCGCAACAGGAGGTAAATAATAAAACACAGGGGAGGGAAAAAATTTAAAATAAATGTAGTGTGTGAGTGCATGTTAAAACAGATGTCAGATTAAAAATAACTGAAAAGGAAATTCTACTGTAGGGGGAAAGCTGCTTTTTCCTTCAGCATTTTATATTCCACCTTCATTAGGCGGAAAGTGAAAGAACTGTAAAAGAAAAGGGGAACTTTTGTTGATTCCCTCTGAACGCTAAGAGAAGCCTAATGTGAGTGTGGGGGCATGTTCTGTGGTGCAGTGCTGCAGCAATTCTCAGGGTGAAGCCCAGGAGCAGCAGGGACGTTAAGCAGATGCAACCGCGTGTGCCAACCTCTGGGACTTGGAGCTTTAAGCCTGCGGTGCTGCATATCCAGATAGTTTCATCCCCTCCATTCTCCTTCAGTCCCTTCAGGGTTGACGAGTCCTCTAATGTTTAAAAAAAAAAATAAACCCTGCAGCCTGCTAGGATCACGTTATCCAGTAATGCCCCTTAACTATAGATTTAGGCACCAGGGACTTTTTTCTAGTTTCTTCAGCCCTTTTAAGCAGGCTGTGTCAGTGTTTGACGACAGCAGAGCGGGGAACATCTACACAAGCATATTTTTCCCCACATGGCTGCCAAAGAACACTGATCATTGTGGTACTCATGAAAATGGCAGTGCCACTCCATAAAACAGTCACAGCACTCTTCTGCTAAATGTGCTTCATGATGGCTCCTTGAAATTTGTGATGTGAAAAGTGGCCTGGCCTGCACATGTCTAAAGCCAAAGAAGCTATAAATAAACACCTGGAAATTGTGCTGAGCCTGGACTGGGAGCTGGAGTGCTAGCATGGGTAGTTTGGCTTGTTCCCACAACAATATTCCTACAGTGTTGCAGCAAAAATTCCCACAACTCCTATTTCTTTCAGACACTCAAGCTAATGAGGAAGCAGCCAAGACAGAAGTAGAAAACATCCTAGAGGCTATCCCTGCAAGGCTGAAGGCAGAGTGGTTTCCCAACTTTCAAAACTTGTATTGGGCTCATACAGTAATTGCCAGGGAAGATCACAAACCAGAATCTTCCTAATGAGAAGTGACGACAAGCAGAAGCAGCTTGTCCCTACAGAAGTTTAACCTGGAACATCTTCACCTAGCCAGCTTGGGTTTTAGCAGGTATGTTAGCAATGCATGAGAGTCCTCTGCTTGTGAAATGCCTTGCATTGGACTACAACCAGATCAGGCTGTTTTAGTGTGCTGCAGAAAGTGTTCAGAGAGGTTCTGCGGGTATTTAAGGCCACACTCTGTGCTCATATCAGCTCTGTCCAGTCTCAGTGTACCTGTCTCTGTGAGATACTGAAAGAAATGTCACCGTGGCAGTGACTGCCCCAAGCAGGCTGTGGGCAAGGTGCGGGGCTGAGGTCTCCAGGAGCCTTCACCTGTGCTCCTTCTGTTGGTCTTGTGCCATTCATTGCCCACCTCTGCACCTCACTGAAAACTCAGGACTTTCTGCTCAGAGTAAATTAATAAATGAATAAATGGAAGTCACTTCAACTGCAGGAAGATAACCATCTGCTCTTAAATGAATATGTCTTTTCAGAGTTGCCTCCACCAGGGCAGATTTCTTTGTTAAGCATTGATTCTGTTTCATTTTCCTGAACAGCTCTGCCATTTTCTCCATTAGAGGGCTGTAGAGCAGTATGTTACAGTATTTTAGAACACAAATGGATATATATATATTTGAGGCCTAATTTTCTTCTGTATTGCTCTCCTGAAACTCAGTGAGTGAAAGTGGACCATGAAAGTGGTGCAATACAGAACAAAAATGCACAGCACCTTAGAATACATCAGAGCTCTGGGTTTTGCTGACAATGTTCAGAAACTCAGAGCTGGTAAGACTTTTAGACACGTGTGTGATGGGTGAGGCAGATGAGTGAGTCAGTTGCTGTTAGCACACACTACAATTGGTCAATAGGATATGTTTTGATGGAAAAGTAGCAAAAAGCACGTGCAAAGCATAAGTAAAGCTTTGAATTCTTATGAACTACGTATAGGCAGAGGCTAAATTAAGAATGTTATAGGCTCCATACTGCTCCAGCTGTGATACTGACAAGCTAATTGTACAAACTACAATTTTCCAGGCAGATATCTTCCTCAGCTAAACTTTATTCAAAACAAACAAACAAACAGAAAATAAAGCTGGAAAAAAAAAAAAAAAGAAAAGAAAACATAGAGTGGAATGGTATTTTTCAGCCCCCACCTGGAAATTTCACTGTGCTAAGTTTCAACACTTCAGAGCATGAACCACGGTGAAGGAGAGACTAGCCCCTGTCCTTGCCACTTGCCTTCTGCTGAATTAATACAGTGAAAGGTGCTAAGAGGAGCAGTTCAGGATGGATGCAGTGAAACTCAAATGGCAGCTGAAAGCTGGACTAGAGGGAGAGAAAAAACATTGGCATAGTAAGTCCAGTGCAAATTAGAGTTAATGGGAACTAAAGGAAACAGTGAGTGCAAGAGCAAGCAGGGAAAGGAGAAGGAAAGGCATGGGGGGAAGATGCCTCAGAAGATGAGAACTTAGAAGTGGCAGCTGAACAACAGCAAGGTGATCCAAACAACAAGAGCTAGAGTGAACTCATTGGAGACACAGTACCTCATCATAAAAGGAGCAATACTGAGACCAAAAGGAAATTGCTCACTGACCAGATCTCTTGCCTGTGAATTTAACTTTTGGAATGGCTGGGAGAACAACAAATCAGAGAACAATGTCACTGAAAATGGCATTTACAGAGACTGAGATGCAGTGGCATGGGCAACTTTAATATTTTGTAACTTTGAAATGCTTTGGCTTTGAAACTAATATTTCTTCCTTGTTGCTTGTTGTGCATTATGTAAGCTTATTTCATCCTAGCAATTAACTCATTGAGGCAGAGATTGCTTTTTTGCCCTGTTTTTGCACACCACTTGCTGTAAAGTGTTGTAGTTCATGACTAGTGCCATTACATGCCATGTTAATGCAGATAGGAAATAGTATGCTGGTAGAGATCTATAATAAAAGCTAAATGTGAATTCTGACAGTGGAGGAAAATGGTTTGGTACAAAGCACTGGGAAATTATTAGATGCACCAGGCAAAAATAACAAGTGGAAAATTGGAGGTGAGTACCAAAGAATGATTCTATAAGTGGTTAGGTGAGGCTGTCTTCCACAGCCCACTGTGGAAGCAGCAGAAGCCCCTCAGCTGGGATTTGGCTGAAGATGAGATAATTCTGTTCAGAAGGCACAGGCCTTTACAGGGTCACAGGCACTAGGTGGTCTGGATGCTTCATCTCCAGCTTCTGTGATTCTGCACAGCCTTCCCCAAAAGCCAACACAATGGAGCACATCAAAAGATGCAATACTGACAGACATTTCTTGAACTGAGAACTATGAAAAGAAAGTTGTTCTCATCCATGAGCTGAAATTGAGAGTACACACTAACCCAAAAGGATACCAGCTCAAAGAGCACTGTATGAAAATCTTATAAAGCTCTGCAACGCTCCATAAATAATTTTCAAACAGGAAGCTTTTTGTTTCAGTGATAACAATACTAAAAAGGAAGAATGGCAAATATCCACCAAAAAAAATAAATAAATAAAAGGCTGAAATAGTCTGCACCCTATACTGATGATAGTTTTAATCACTTCCAGAGTTACACACACAATTATCAGTCATTTATTAAGAAACGCAAATGATCATTACAGAGGTTTAGATTAATACAGGCTGAAGCCTGGTGTCGTGCCAGTGGTGCACCACGTGATGGGCAGACCATGGAATAAACATTCTAACATGTCACTGTGCTATAAATCCTACAAATGAAAGAAATTAAAAAGCCAGGAGCAATTTCAAAAGTGATTTATGATTGGCAGTGCACTTAGGAGTGCTTTTATTGTCACAGGAACATCTCCTTTCACATCCTTAAGGTGAAAGCACCACTCTGTTTCGCTCTGAGGTTCTTGGGACAGCCTGTGACTGCGTGAGGTGTGGAGGCAAGCACTGGGGCTTGAGCTGAGTGCTGGTGAGTATATGTGCACTTAGCAGCGTGCAACTGCTTGTGAGGGTTAGCTTTGCACAGCCCGAGGGTGACAGAACAGCAAATTGCTTCTGACACTTTAAGTATGCGAAAAGACACCAGTTGTGGGGTGTTGGTTTTTTTTGTTGTTTGTTTGTTTTTTATGGCTATACTATAACTACGCTCTGAAGTGCACGTATAAACATTTTATAACATAGGTTTGGACTAACACTTGAAAAATAACCTGAAGACTGGTTCTTTAGCAGAAGGTATTCCTACCAAAATAGCAGTCTGTTGCAAGTCAAACTTTCGCTCCATGCATAAATGATGCAGAACTTAGTGTATTTCTAATGTAGATGTTACTAGAAGATTTACTAAAATACCATGTTAGTATTAAGATGGATATGTTATCTTAAATAGAAAGTGAATTCACCTAGAATTGAAAGGTAAAATATTTTAGTTTGCAAGCACTGTACTCAGCTGCCCATGTAAAGAATGGCAGCAGTGGAAGTGAGAGAATCATAAAAACATAGAATACACAAAGTTGGAAGGGACCCATAAGGATCATCTACTCCAAGTCCTGGCTCACAGAATCACAGAACTGTAGGGCTGGGAGGGACCTCTGGAGGTCATTGAGTCGAACCCCCCTGCAAAGCAAGCCCCCTGCAGCTGTCTGCACAGGTAGGCATCCAGTCAGATCTTGAATATCTCCACAGAAGGAGAATCCACAACCTCCCTGGGCAGCCTGTTCCAGTGCTCTGTCATCCTTACTGTGAGGAAGTTACTTTACATATTGTGCAGAACTTCCTATGCTCAACTTTATGGCCATTCCCTGCAGGAACACCCAAAAATCAGATCACATTACTGAGATTGTTGTCCAGGCACTTCTTCAACTTCACAAGTTCAGTGCCATGGTCACTTCCTTGGGAAGCCTGTGTCAACACTCAACCATTCTCTCAGTGAAGAACTTTTCCCTGATATCCAACCTGAAAGTGAAAGCTTGGATATCCAAGCAGGATAGTTAATCCTCCCCCAGGCCAATGTTACTGTGCCACAGACTCAAACCTATGTGATGCATTGCTGCCTTCCTGGTTTCTCCTTTGAGCCTGCCTTCAGGCATTTGCACTTGTGCTTTTCATTCTTCTGGGATGGCATGAGGACTTCCCACAGCAGCGTGCCGTGTACACACACCCAGCAGGGCTGACTGGTTAGGTATCTGCAGTTCTCTCTCCAGCAACAGGCAGTCTTCAGATCAAGAAGCCTATGACATTGGGAGAGCAAACTTTAAGCTGTTCAATGGACTGTTGGCCGAGATCCCCTGGGATGCTCTCTTTAAAAACAAAAATGCTGAAGAGAGCTGGTTACTCTTCAAGGATGCCTTCCTAAGAGCGCAAGAACTCTCTGTCCCACTGAACAAGAAAGCGGGCAGAGGAGGGAGGATGCCAGCGTGGCTCAGTAAGGACCTGCTGAGAGAGCTGAGGGCAAAGAGAGGTGTGTACAAACTCTGGAAACAAGGGCATGCCACCTGGGAAGAATACAGGGATGTTGTCCGGACTTGCAGATGTGGGATCAGGAAAGCCAAGGCGCAGGTGGAACTGAACTTGGCGAGGGACGTGAAAAACAATAGGAAGACTTTCTATAGGTACATTAGCCAGAAGAGACAGGCCAAAGCGAGTGTACCTCCTTTGGTAAACGTAAAAGGAGAACTGGTTTCAACGGACGAAGAGAAGGCCGAGGTACTGAATGAGTTCTTTGCCTCGGTCTTCACTGGCAGCCAGGACTCCAGTACTCCTTCCGTCCCTGAGCCCTGCATCCCTACACCTCTGGGTGGGGACTGGGGTGGTAAATCCCCCCCTGCTGTGAGGACAGAGCAGGTCCGAGACCGCCTCATGAGACTGAATGTGTACAAGTCTATGGGGCCGGATGGCATGCATCCCAGGGTTCTGAAGGAGCTGGCTGAGGTGGTTGCCGAGCCGCTCTCCATCATATTTGAGAAGTCGTGGCTGTCTGGTGTGGTCCCGGATGACTGGAGGAAGGGTCACGTCACTCCCATTTACAAGAAAGGGAGCAAGGAGGACCCTGGGAACTACAGGCCGGTGAGTCTCACCTCTGTGCCTGGGAAGATCATGGAACAGATCATCCTGGATGACATGCTTGATCACATGAGGAAAGGGCGTGTGATCCGTGACAGCCAGCACGGCTTCACCAGAGGAAGGTCATGCTTGACCAATCTGGTGGCCTTTTATGATGGAGTGACGGCATCGGTGGACAAGGGAAAGGCGACCGATGTCATTTACCTGGACTTGAGCAAGGCCTTTGACATGGTCCCCCACCACATCCTTCTCTCCAAACTGGAGGGATGTGGATTTGATGGGTGGACCACTCGATGGATAAGAAACTGGTTGAAAGGCCGCAGACAGAGGGTGATCATCAATGGCTCTATGTCCAGGTGGAGGCTGGTAACGAGCGGCGTCCCCCAGGGATCTGTCTTGGGACCGGTGCTCTTTAACATCTTTATCAATGACATTGATGACGGAATTGAGTGCACCCTCAGCAAGTTTGCTGACGACACCAAGCTGAGTGGTGTGGTTGACACAGTTGAAGGACGGGATGCCATTCAGAGGGACCTCGAGAGGCTAGAAAGGTGGGCCCGGGTGAACCTGATGAGGTTCAACACTGCAAAGTGCAGAGTTTTGCACTTGGGCCGGAGGAATCCCAGGCATCCCTACAGACTGGAAGGAGAGGTCCTTGAGAGCAGCCCTGTGGAGAAGGACCTGGGGGTCTTGGTAGACGAAAAACTTAACATGAGCCAGCAGTGTGCCCTTGCGGCTCGGAAGGCAAATGGGATCCTGGGCTCCATCAGAAGAGGGGTGGCCAGCAGGGACAGAGAGGTGATTGTTCCCCTCTACTCTGCTCTTGTAGAGAGGCCCCATCTGGAATACTGCGTCCAGGTCTGGAGCCCCCAGTACAAGAAAGACAGGGAGCTGTTGGAGAGGGTCCAGAGGAGGGCCACAAAGATGATCAGGGGACTGGAGCACCTCCCCTATGAGGACAGGCTGAGGGAGCTGGGCTTGTTCAGCCTGGAGAAAAGAAGGCTGCGGGGTGACCTCATTGCAGCCTTTCAGTACATAAAGGGAGCCTACAAACAGGAGGGGAATCAACTCTTTGAAAG